TCTCCGGGTACCCCCTGCGACGGCATTGGTGAGTTGCCACGTCAGCAGGCCACGTCAGCGGACTACGTCAGCAGGACACGCCACCAGACCACGTCAGCAGGCCACGTCAGCAGGCCATGTCCGCCGACATAGCAGGAAATACCACGTCAGCAGGCCCCCGGCCTGGTATATGCTGTTGCGGTCACAAATAGCCGTCATGGACCAGAGGTTCGGAGAAGCAGACGAGGCCTATCAGGCCCGGATGCTGGCTTGGAGAACCGAAACAAAGAAATGGGAAGATGACGCAGCAGCAGCAGCGAAGAAGAAGGCAGAGGATGCCGAGCAGGCACGTCTGCTGGCACTTGAACAACAGCGCCAACATGACGAGGCAGCAGCAAGGGCTGCCAAGGAAGAAAGAAACCAATGTCGTGAGAAGATATTCAGCGGAGAGCACACCTTGCTCACAATGGCAGCGGAATGGCGGACCGAAGCCGAGAATCGCAATTTGGAGGATTGCAAAGACAAGATTGCGCTCCTCCTCTCGCATCTCACAGACCTCCTAGCAACCTGCATTACACAGAAGGAGGATATCCACAGCCTCGACGACTCGCTAGCTCAAGTGCAAGGCCGCCTCCAGCAGCTGGAGCAGCCACCCATCGCCACCCCCGATGCAAGCTCTTCCAATACTTCCGATCGCCTCGAAGCATTGGAGATGGACGTCGGCTCCCTCAAGGACGGCGTGCACTTACAGCAGACCGCAACGCAACAGTTGCAACAGCGGATCTGTACTACTGCCAACACCTCAAGTTCGGAACCGCGCGAGACAGCTCCAAAGTTTAACGGGCAGGAGATCTTCTGCGACTCGACGAAGACAGATCCGATTCCATGGTTCCGCAAGTTCGAGCTCACGCTGCAGCTACACAACGTCAAAGAACACAAGCACCACGCATACTTGTACTCTCGCTCAGGGGGCGCATGGTTGGACAACCTTTTGTCCAAGTACGGAGTGGTAGCTAACGACTTGCACACCAAGATCAGTTGGGATGATCTGAAGGCAGCGTGGCACAAGCGGTTCCAAGTCGAGCCGCCTGAGATCAAGGCTACGGACAAGCTCATGGTCTTCGAACAAGGCACTCTGTCGAGTACCGACTGGATCGCCGAGTACCAATGCTTGACGTCAGTCCCAGACATCCTGATGGGCTTCAAAGCCATTCACCACTATTTCATCTCAAGGTCATGTCCGGCATTAAGCAATGCCCAGACTCACGTCGAGGACACCTTGACGACGACGGCGGAACTTTTTGACAAGGCCGCGCAGATCATCATTACGAACAAGGAGGCAAAGAATCTGCGTTCGTCTGCGGCAGGCCGGAGCAGGGACCAGCATCCGCCAAGAGTGGTCGTGGTCGCCGCTGCAACGCCGTTGGACCAAACCAGCGAGGCTGTGTCTGCCAGTGAAGGGGACAGACTCGCAGCCGCCCGGGAAGGTGGCCGCCCCGGTAGAGGACGAGGACGTGGCAAGACGAAGACACACACTGCATCTAGCCCCGGGCTCGGCGCAGCAGCTCCAGCCCCTTGGTCCCAATACGGCATCTCCAAGCAAGCATTCAAGGCGCGCACGAGATTCCATTATTGCCTATGGTGCAACAGTGATCTTCAGCAGACACTGGCCTGCCCATTGAAAGGCAAGGGCAAACAAGGAGACTGAGCACCGCCGAGAGTGACCCGACAACACTCTCAACGCCTCCGGAACCGGTTTCTTCGCGAGTAACCGGCCTTCATTCCGAGGCGCATGCGGAAGTCGATAGTCCTCCACTTCTACTTTCTTTTGAGGACTATGCTGTCGGGCTCGTTCCTACGCTGGGTACTCAAGCTCAAGGACAAGACGTGTGTGCGGCATCTTCTCCGTCCGACAGCGGCGACTTATCGTCTTCAAGTGGTTCTTCAAGGGATTCAGCGTCTCGATCGCTACAAGTCCGCGTTCAAGACGCGGTATGGGCATTTTGAGTGGGTGGTCATGCCTTTTGGCCTCACCAACGCCCCGGCGACGTTTCAAGCGGCAATGACCAATGAGTTTCGTGCAATGTTGGACCGGTTCGTGCTGGTCTACTTAGACGATATTCTCGTCTTTAGCCGGTCATTGGAGGATCATCTTGGGCATCTTCGACGAGTGTTGGAGACGCTCCACCGCGCCAAGTACAAGGCCAACCATGACAAGTGCAAATTTGTACGGCAAGAGCTGGAATACTTGGGCCATTTTGTCACACCGGAGGGCATCAGTCTGCTATCTGACAAGATCCAAGCCATCCAAGAGTGGTCGGAGCCTGGGAACGTCACGGATGTCCGATCGGTCCTTAGTCTCGCCGGCTACTATCAGCGTTTCATGAAAGGCTACTCAAATATCATGGCCCACTTGACCAAGCTTCAATGCGAGGATCGGCCGTTTGACTTCGGAGAGGAGGCGCGGGAATCATTTTTGGCTCTCAAAGCCGCGCTATT